TATATTTTCCTTTTCTTCCATTACATGCGTGCGATATATATAAATATATAAACTATGTTACATGCGTTATATGCGTCTCTAATTATTTTTCCCTAGCAAATTTCAATTGAACCTAAAGCTGCCACGTCAGTTTAATTGGTATGCTAATTGATTGACAACTAAGCAAGGTTACTTTTTAATTAATACAAACTTGAGGTTAAATCTTTTCAAATGTTTCTCAATTAATATATAGGGGATATCGTTCAAATGTCGTAATTACAACATAACTATGGCAAACTAACCAAGTAGTTATGCTAGTAATTACAACATAACTACTTACGGGAAGATTTGCTTGTTATGCACCGTTCATTAATATTTGACTGTCATTTGAACGATAGTAGTATACGTTTACGTACGTACGTGTCCAACACACGTTGCATTTTGCATAGGATTCCTCTCATTCATTGACCTCATAGAGGTGTACTTAAGATTATCATCAAACGGGTCAAAAAGAAGACAACCCGTCTTTAATGTCTGCTACTATAATCCAGTGCTTGGCTTTTATTTTTCTTCGTTAAAGGATTGCACTAATTGGCTTTTACTAAAGAATCTTTCGTTTTTTTCTACACTTTAAGTTTAATTTCATCATTTTATTCTTCTTTGGTATTAGTGAAGTGAAAGTACGTCTTAGGTATTATCATTCCCACTTTGAATTCCAAAACCATCAATTATATTCGATTTACATGCATTGCTTTAATGCCATGCACTGAGATTTGAACCCTTTGATTTGCAGTAGTTAAATACCTTTTAGGTTGGCAGTTTGGGTCCAAGTTTAGTTCTTCATATCTACAGTTTACATTCACAAATCCGATTTGGATATTTTTAATCTAATTGGTTTGTTTATTCAATGTTTGCTTCATGTCATCTTTTAACTCAATATACGAAACCAGCAAAATTAACCAAGATATTTTAAAATATCGGAGCTATCCAAAAACTATAATACAAAGTTACTCTAAATACCGCAACCTATTCATTGTAACCGTATTATAAGAATATCTCAGTATACAAAAATTCAACCTCTGAAAATACTCAAGTGCATCCGGATTATCCCATTTTTTATAGAAAAGTTAATACGTTTATTTAATTTCAGATGCTAGATTGAGTTTATGTTTGGACCGAATCCCACGAGATATTCGAAATGTCTTAATGTTAACCCGTTTCAGGTATTTTTCTAAAAACAAATCAGACTGGGATCAGATTTTTGGATATAGTTCGGGTTAATGTATTTTTGCGTAGCCCTACCTAATCAATAAGAGCATCCACAATGGGAAGTTCTTAAGAGGAATCCTTAGGAAAATTGGGCATTTCGAATTATATAATGATATTTTAGATTTTTTTTTTTAAAAAAAAATTGACCATTCGTAGGCCGCCACGTGGACATTGGAGCCCACAAATAGTGTAATGATCAATTCTTAAATAAGGTTTATAAGGACAGAATCCCTAACTGTTTATGAGATCTACTGATTATAAATTAATATTTCTCTAAGAATTCCTTTTAAGGATTATCCATTGTGGGTGCTCTAATATGCAGCGCTCACTATTTGAGAACTTATACATGACACGAATTGTAGACGAGAAGAAAAAAGGAAAAAAAAAACTGTTTTGAATATCAAATGTAGACTATAGTATTGCATATGTAACTCCTAATAACTGATCTATGAAATTAAACACAGTTTTGTTAAAAACTAGCACAGTAATGATCATACAACTTACTAAACCATAAGTTCACAACTACATAAAGACCCATAAGCAACCATTATATTAGAAGTTATTGTCAATTGGAGTCACTGCTTAAGTGTTGGCGGAGAACAATAGATGGCGCATCTAATACGTGTGCATCTTTTTATATAGCTTAGTCATAGTTTTCTAATCCTATTAATCCATGTTAACTAGTCTAAAACATATACACTAAATAAGTAATATAAACTAAGCAACGAGTGTTCCTTTCAGTGATATATGAGTGAGCCCCTCGATAACCATTCTAATAAGTAAAGTGTACATCACTTGTTAAATAAATATATTAATTCAACTGTTAAAGTCAAATTTTTGCTACAAAAAGCAATAGCAAAGCAAACTTTTTATCCATTTTAGAAAGCACCCTTACAAAACAATTATAAACAACTTATTATTACAAAGTAATAAAATCAATACTAAGTTCGTAAATTTGGCGAAAATTGCAGTAACTTTTATAAAAGTTATAAAAAAAAACTTTAACCCACATAAAAGAAAGCAAGCATGTACTCATCTTTCTAAGCTCTTATTTCTTTTGCTTTTGTCACATTCTTACTAATGATTTATATCTTTATGCAAAGTATGCAATTGTCATGAAAGTACCATGCTTTCTCAATAATTTGGATGAAAAACTCATTTTCCTTTTAAAGGCCGTATATGTATAGTAAAATTCTACCTAAATCAAATCATCCGTAGGAGTTAAGAAGTTTGTTTAACATTTTTAGATTTAAGAAATTTTAAGAATTTAGCATTTTTAGATTCTTTTATATAAAATTATAAGATTCTTGAGTCGGACTGATAATTTAGATTCCTGATTTTTGATATACGCTAAAAAAAATAATAGAATTAATTACAAAAATGCATTTATGTTTCGTTCAGTTATCTAGAAAAACTTTCAAAATTAAGAGTGTTTAAATTTCTGTAGTAGAAAATTGATGAATTATAAAAAAAGTGATTTGCAAGATCATATAAGTAAAAATTAAATCACATAAAAAATTATATAATGATTACAAAGTCATTAACCAATTACTCTGGACTTTTAAATTTTACGCACCACTCGTTACGTAGAAACCCACGAGATATGAAAAACTATAGTTAATATTTTTGTATAAGTTCATAACTATATTTTTTAGTAAGAAACATCAAACATGTTAAGTTTCAAAAGAAAACATCAAACATGTATATGAAACTACTTTACTGGATTTCATTGAGCAATAATTAAGATATCAAAAACCACATGAGATTTTTGTTTCATGTCATATATTTTTTTCTTTTTATTTACACCGATATATGATATTAGTATATTTCTATGAGTGATTTCTTTGAATATTTGTATTTATCCCTAATCAAAATATCATATAGATTCGTCAACGCATTGACAAAAAAAAAAAAGGATTCTTCAATGCGATCGAATCAGCGATTAAGGCTCTTGGGCCTTTTAAAATTCTTATTTCGTCAGGCCCATTCATGATTCAAACACAAACAAGCGCTTTCCAACTCTCCATCTCTTCCCCTCTCACCAGCTTCACTTGTCATCTGTAGCTTCCCTTGTCTTCTTCCAACTCACTTTTACTTCCTCTCTACGTTACGCATGCTCTTCCATCACAAGTCTAATGTCTTGTTAGAGAAATCATACATGTTGATGGTCTTTAACACCCTAATCTCTTCAGGTTCAAGAGTTGCACTCAAACTGTTCGTTGAAATTCCTAAGAGAGAATCCTCCCCTTGCCTCATTCAACCACTTAATGTCTGAACATTAGCTCGTTGCTGTTTCAAATGTTTGGTAACGTTCATCACGTAACAAGGCATCTAAACCCTGTCAGGGCAAAACCAGGTCGCTTCTTCTGTTCAATCCAGGTTCNCTCTTCAGGTTCAAGAGTTGCACTCAAACTGTTCGTTGAAATTCCTAAGAGAGAATCCTCCCCTTGCCTCATTCAACCACTTAATGTCTGAACATTAGCTCGTTGCTGTTTCAAATGTTTGGTAACGTTCATCACGTAACAAGGCATCTAAACCCTGTCAGGGCAAAACCAGGTCGCTTCTTCTGTTCAATCCAGGTTCTGTTTCATTCTTCTGTTGATTCCCATGAATGGTACAGAGACAAACTCTCAGTTCTGACAAAACTAACACGTGCGTTAAAAGACGTTGATTTAGTGGACGGGAAGCTAGAGGACATCAATGGCATCATCATCTATGATGACACTATCAAACAGAAGATGCAAGCTTTCAAGTCTTTAGCTAGAATCTTCATTGGTTCTCCTTCACTTCAGCAGAAGCTTAAGAAACATGGGCGGTTAGTTTTCGGTACTGAAAGCGAAAGAGAGCCGTTGGTTGTGAATTCATTGACCAAAGTTTGCAACTTTCTTGACATCTCTGCGCAACAGAGGAAGCTTGTGAGGTGTACTGTGTGTTCACAGGTGACTCAGTATCGTATCTGGAGAGGTGCTCTTGAAGATGTATTGAATGGTCTTAAAGATGAAGTTGATTGGTTAGTTGAACATAGGGAGAAGACACAAGGCGCGAAGTTGGGCCAGCAAGTGATCTTGTCTTGCCTCAAGTTTTTATCTGAGTCATCGGTTTCTTATGAAGCTGAGAACTCAACTTCTTGGATGCGGCCTGTGCCAGCTAGATACGCTAAAGCAAACGCTTCTGCGAAGTGGGAAGATGTTCTTGACATGGTGAATGATCTGAGAAGGTATCTGGAACATGACGAAGGAATCAATGTACTTTACCATCTGGAGAAGCTTTTATCGATGAAAGAAGGGCTTCTACAGATCAAAGATGTGTTTCTGGACAACACCATTGGATTCAGAGAGGTTAGGCATCAAGAGCACCTTGTGCATAGGAAGCTTTCAAAGATGTTGGGAAGTCCTTCGCCTTGTTTGTTCACTCTCCTCATGTATTTCCTCTACGGCCGTGTGCGTGACATGGAAGTTGATCTATGTGGAGGGTTTTATAAGGAGAAGAACGACTTCTTTTGCTTAAGCATGGGGAGGATCTTGACCTCAACTGATGAGAAAATGGTTAGGAGAGGGATTAAGCAGTTAGATAGAGCCTTAGGGATGTTTGAGTTTGTGTGGGAAACAGCAGGAATGAAAGAGACTCTTAACCTGCAAGGACATTTATGGTGCCTTGAAGCTGAAGAAAAGACCATCACATACCGTGGGAAAACGTTCTATCTGCATGACCTTAGTCTATGAAGTTGTGTCAGGAAGGTGCTTTTTGTTTCTTCAGCTGCAGAAATGACTCTTGAGATGAACACTGTATTGTTGAAAAGAAAAAGGTTTTCAATATAAACTTAAATTTAATACAAAGAGTTTGATACATAGGTTTCATTGGTTTCTCAATTTTTAAAAGGAAGCAATAGATTTAGCATAAACCCCACACAGCTAAACTATATAATATTACAAAGACCAATCCTGATGATAAGTTCCCAGACCATTCCATCTTCTTCTTCTGATGTTGCTGTCTGAGAATTTAGCAGGCAATGGAGGTAGCTAAAGGAGTTACAAGAACAGCTGTCTTTCCAGTTATAGGCTTCACACTTGCTGCCTTCTCTAACCTTTCCCAGGTTTCTTTCCTCTTCTCCGCTGCAGAGCTTTCCTTTGCTTCGTCCTCTTGAAAGCGAGCATGGCAAGACATGAAGAGAGCCTCATCCATTTCACAGAACATTTTTCTCACGTTTAGAGTTAGGTTTAGCACTGATGGGTTCCAGTGGCTCTCAGCATTCTTCTCCAAGGCAGTGAACATGATTGGTAGGATGACTTGCCTGTTGTGTGCAATCAAATTCACAATCTGATCGTTGTTCCACAAGAACAGTGCCCTTTCAGAGACCTGAATCATAGGAAGCTCTTAGCTACTATACTAAACAATGTCTCTTAAGAAATAGAAACCTACCTGATAGTGGCAACTGTTGACACAGGAAGCAATCCTCCAGAACAATGGAACCATCACCTTTTGAAACTCCACCACGCTCATCGCCTCAACAATCTCTTCAACCTCACTAAGAAACATCACTTCCTTCTGGCTGTTCGTGATAGGCCAGAACTTCAACAAACCTTTGATCACAACACTTCCTAGCTTCGGCTCCTTATCTATAAACTGAGTGATGCAGTAAGACAGCTGTTGGAAGTAGTTCCCAAGAGACTTAGGCTTATGAAGTGGAATCAACACTCTCCACAAGAAGATCTTATGCTCCTCTTTCAAAGGCAAAGCGAATCCACTCACTATACTCCCCAAAAACTCCAAAAGCTCAGCGATGCCGCAATGCTTCTCAGTCTCAAACACAAACCTGTAGAAGATATTGCTCATTGACCTCCGGATAAAGGGTCTGTGAACCATGAACTTCCCGTAGACACGATGCAGAATCGTCTTCAAACACTCTCGTTCTCTAGGATCCTCGGAATCAAACACGTCAAGCAGCCTCACAATGAAAGCATGGTCAAGATACTTCTTAGCTATCTTAGCGTCAAGACAAGGAGAGGTGATGAACTTAAGCAACAGATCATAGACAATCTGCAAATGAGGCCAGGCAGGGTCGAACATAGGATCATCATCATCATTATTCTCACCACCGACAACAACACTAGACCGGTAACTAGGAGGGAAAACCCTAAAGAGATTCACAGCACACATTCTACACATCGCGAGGATAGCCGGCTCAGTGAACCTAACGGAACCTGAACCTACGAAATCAAGAAGTTCAAGCAGAGTCTGTCTCTTCACAAGCTTCTCTATAGAGTTTTTGTTTGGGTCAGAGAAGTCAAATGTGACACAGCAGAGGCTGACTTTGCTAACAAAGAGGTTTAGTTTCTCGGAGTTTGGTACATCCTTGAAAGGCAGCAGAGGCTCGATGCCAGCAACGACGCTTGCAGGGAAGACAGCAGAGGACATACGCTTCCCTGAGTTGGAACGAACCACCACACTCTGACCCGGAGATGGTGACTGCTCCGAGGTGGGAGGAGAGAGGTCTTCTGAGTCAGGTTTTGGAAGCTTACTCTTCCTCAGGAATATCTTGTACATTCTTCGCCAAACAAACACAGACACAACAACAACAAAGCAGTGATGAGGAAGCTCAAATCCACATAAAGAAGAGCCTTAAAGAGAAAAACATGTTACAAGATCTCCGTGGAATATGGGTTAGATTCGAAAAATGAAGAAAGGTTGTCACTTTTAGTAATCCCCAATTTTAAATGGAAACCCTAATCATTACCTGCTTTCTCAACAAATCTCAATCTCATGATTTCTGTATCCATGGACATTGAGAGAGAGAGAGAATATAATTAAAAAAAAGGATAATTTGTGAATCTATAGAGCGAATTAAAGAAGAAGAAAAACAGAGTTTGGATCGAGAGGAAGAAGCTTTTATGATCTTTTTATCCTTTCTGGATTGCTATGAGAAGAAAAAACAAATAATTGAATGTTTCAAATTTTTTTTAATTTTAGGACAGGATTTTCTTCTCTTATCGTAAAAAACAGCGGTTTTGTGTTAACGACATGTCTCATGCCGTTTTATTTTTAAAAAGAAAAAGAAAACGACATGACGCATGCGATTATAGTGGCCGTTTGATAAGAGAAGACGCTTACACGTGACTACAACCGTTGGATTCACTTTAGAAGGAATCCTAAGTAAACCAAGGCCCATTTATTATCAAAGCCCATCTATAATATGGGCCTTATAATATGCATGTCTCTAGAAGACACACGAACTGTCTTGTCTTTTTTTTTTTCCTTCTCATCCTTTGATTGTCACAGGAAACAGCTGAAACTCTATCCAGAAGAATCCTTAGGGTTTGCTTCTCACTCACTTTTCTTCTATCTGCTCCGATTGATTCGCAGTGAAACTATTTATCTATCTGGCTATAAGGTATGGTCTTCATGTTTATTATTCTCGAGATCTAGTGGTTTGGTTCGGTTTAGACTCGTTCTCTTAGGTTGAAGTTTGGGATGTGAATTCGTGAAAGTATCTAACTTTAGTAGTGAATTTTTTTTTAATAAATAAATACAAATTCGTGTGAATACTTATCATACTTTTGCATTTCAAGCAGCTGTTGAAGTGGATGTTATATACAGTTGTGGTTTGTTATGTCTGGTGATATGGGAGCTGAGAAAATCTCTACCCACATGGAGGAGAGTTTAAAAGCGGATCCAGATACTTTTAAAGAATCTAACTTGGTGGAGATAGGATCAAACGGACCTCCTGTTCAGGATATGCCCGTTTCAGATATTAAAGAAGAAGAAGAGCCTGTGGCTTCCACCTGTGACAACGTGGACCTTCCGAAAGTGGAAACATTTGTCTCTGGTCCAGAGGACATCCGTCTGGCTGATTCTCAGTTGAAAGTGGAAACATCCGTCTCTGATCCTATGTCATCCGCATTTGAGCAAGAGGGTATCTCTTCTCAACCATCTGTTCTGGCTGATTCTCAATCAATAGTTGAAACATCTGTCTCTGGTCCTATGTCATTCACGTTTGAGCCAGAAGGCGTCTCTTCCCAACCTTCTGTTTCGGCTTATTCTCAGTCTAAAGTGGAATCATCTGTATGTGGTCCTATGTCATCTACATTTGAGCCAGAGTGCATCTCTTTTCAGCCCTCTGTCATGGCTGATTCTCAGTCAAAAGTGGAAACATCTGTCTCTGCTCCTATGTCATCCGCATTTGAGCCAGAGAGCATCACTTTTCAACCCTCTGATTTGGCTGTTTCTCAGTCTAAAGTGGAAACATCTAACTCTGGTCCTGCGTCATTCACATCTGAGCCAGATGGCGTCTCTTCTCAACCTTCTGCTATGGATGATTCTCAGTCTTTGCAGACTCATTTGCAACCTCTTGTTCCGCGTGGATATTCGATTGATAAATCATTAGCTGCCTGTCGCAGTCCAAGGTCATTTCAGCTAACAGGGAAGCGGAAGTTACCACCAGAGTCTACTACTCTTGGTGGTTCTGCATCCGAGAAACCACCAAACAAGCGAGTGGAATCAGTGCATCACAGACCATGGCTAGAACAATTTTATTCAGCAAGTATTCAGCCGCCTCACATGCCATCTACTACTCTTTCTCCCAAGACGGAACATCCACAAGTGCCTGCCAAGAAAGTGAAGCAAATGGAACCAGCTTCCCAGAGGAAGCAAGCGATGAACAAGAAGCAAACTGGCCCATCACAAGGTTCAACAAAGTTACAGAATGAAGGAAACGAGTCCTTGAGATCGAAAATGAAGGAGTCATTAGCAGCTGCTTTGGCTTTGGTTCATGAGCATGAGGAATCTCCAAAAGAGAAAAAGAATTCAGAAATTGATGAAGGAAGTGCTCCAGCAGCTGAAAGTAATGAACCTGCCTCAGCCTGTGGTGTCAGTGTTCCACCAGATGAAGGCAACATGGCGGGATTGTCCACAAGGGATGAGAGTTCTGAGCAGAAGGATGTCAACGGAAGCATATTGCCGCAACAGACTTCTAATGACACAGAGATGAATTATGTTAATCAATCAGATGTAGAGAAAACTCAATATGATGATGTTTTCCCTTGTGATGATGGTCCTTTTAGCGGTAGTTATCTTTCCAGTGATGAGCTTCTACAGGGTAACGGCCTCTCATGGGTTTTGGAGCCTGTTTCAGATCTCGAGGAGAGGAAAGAGAACGAAACTGGTGGTGAGAAACCGTTTGAGGATCCAAACCTCTTGGCAACTAAAATAGAGTTGGAACTGTTTAAACTATTTGGAGGCGTTAACAAGAAGTACAAAGAGAAGGGAAGGTCTCTCTTATTCAATCTGAAAGATAAGAACAATCCTGAGCTAAGAGAGAGTGTCATGTCCGGAAAGATCTCTCCTGAGAGGTTGTGTTCCATGACCGCCGAGGAGCTTGCTTCTAAGGAGCTGTCTCAGTGGCGACAAGCGAAAGCGGAAGAGATGGCTGAGATGGTTGTCCTGAGGGATGCAGACATTGATGTCAGAAGTCTTGTGAGGAAAACGCATAAAGGTGAGTTCCAGGTGGAAGTTGATCCTGTTGAGAGTGAGATGGTGGATGTCTCTGCTGGGATTACCTCACGTAGTAGACCTCGAACCAAAGCCAAAACCACTCTAAATAAAAATGACTCAAATGATCAGAAGGGAAGTTCTGACCAGGAGGCAATGACTCTGCCTTCAAGTACGGAGGAGACTGATCTAATGCAAGGTTTGTCAATGGATGATGAGATGAAGGATGTGGGTTTCCTTCCTCCAATTGTATCGCTTGACGAGTTTATGGAGTCTCTGAACACAGAACCTCCTTTTGGAAGCCCACAACATGGGGATGATGTGAAGGAGGAAGTGGCTGCATCTGAAAAGAGTAACTCAGGAGCTGTTTCAAATTTGAAGTCTCCTTCAAAATCTCCTAAGCAGTCTCCAAAGGAATCTCCTAAAACAGAACTCGAAAAGGCTATTGTAACTTCTCCAAAACCGGATGTGGGTGTCAAACTCAGTGTTGATGTCTCTAAACCTGAAGAAGCATCTTTGGTAGCTAGCAACAAAGAAGAACAAATATGGAATGGTATACTGCAGCTTAGTGCCTCATCAGTTGTCTCAGTCACCGGAATTTTCAAGAGGCAAGTCTCATTATTTACCTTAACTTTATCTCTTGTTAGCATGTCTGAAAATTTGCACATGATTAAATTAGGATTTGTAGTACCAATGATATGAATGAATCTAAGTTTAGGCTTGAATTGAGAATAGGTCATTTTATAGTATGTTGTAGGTTTTATTGAACATTATAATGTCTGACTGGATTTGGGTGGTGCAGTGGTGAGAAAGCAAAGACAAGCGAGTGGCCAACGATGGTGGAGGTAAAGGGTAGAGTGAGACTCAGTGCGTTTGGGAAGTTTGTACAAGAGCTTCCATTGTCTAGAAGCCGTGTCTTAATGGTATTCAAAGTTTACTACTTGCATTATCATTGTAGTAGTAGCGTTAGCATTATTATGTTCAGTCTCTTGTTTGTTACTTTTACGAAGAGAGGATTCATTTTAAGACCCACAAAATCTCATCTCAATATTGCAAGTCATTATTTCTTACTGCAGACACAATAATAGACCTTTCCAGAAAGCAAAAGCTCACGGTTGGTCTACATGTGTGAGACAGGACAACGAGCCCTTATTGACCCAGAGAATCAACTGTGGATTGAATCTGAAGTTTTGTATTAAAAAGATTCATGAAATTTTGGATGTTAATTTACTCGTAGATGTATTGTTCGGTGGCATTAACAACTTAGGATATAGATTCGTCCACATCTTACCAATAATCTTTTCCAGAAAGTGACTAGACCACGAAACATGGTCCATGTTGTAGATTATGACCCAAAATAGAAACTCTTGAAGGAAAAAAAGTGTTGTTTACTTTGGCAATCATTGTATAATTGATTCCTGAACCGGTTCTGTTTTTTTCTGGATTGCAGGTAATAAACGTGGTTTGTAAAGATGGCATCTCTCAGAGCCAACGTGACAGCCTTTTTGAGGTATTAATTCCATATTCTTATTATTATTTTTCTAAAAAGTTATATATCTAATTCTAGTCAAGACATTTATTATTTTTTGCTTAAAAAGTCTTTACCCTTTCTATTTTTGTTGTTGAGTCAGGTTGCCAAGTCATACGTTGCTGACCAGAGAGTTGGTTACGCAGAGCCAACTTCAGGCGTGGAGCTTTACCTCTGCCCTTCACGTGGCGAAACACTAGACTTGCTTAGCAAAGTCATCTCCAAGGAGCATCTCGATGAGGCCAAGTGTTCAGACAACATCGGTTTGATCGGTCTTGTTGTCTGGAGGCGTGCAGTCTCGTCTCCTGCCGCACGTCATAAGCCAGGAGTCAAACGTCAGCACTCCTCTTTAAAGAACCAGCCTCCTGTTGTTACTGGCACCAAGAACAAAAATTCTAGTAGTACTAGTCTGAATGTAAAGAATCATCAGCCTCCTCCTATTGTTGCTGTTACTACGTCCATTGGGAATCATGGTTGTGAAGATGATGATGATGGTGAAGATTTGCCACCTGGATTTGGTCCAGCAGCTGTGAAAGACGACGATGATTTACCAGAGTTTAACTTCAATACTTCCACTGCACCACCGGTTACTTCTTCTCCCCGGCCAGCAGCGCCGCAATCTCGGTCTTTGAATCAAGTAAGGGAGCTCATACTCAAGTATGGAAACTCAACAGGTAATAATGCCAATAAACAACCATGGAATGGTCAAGATGATGATGATGATGACGATATTCCTGAATGGCAACCACAAGTGTCAGGCCACCAGATTCAACCTCCACCACCTCCTCCTGGTCCTCCATTTCATAGCAGAGCCATGGCCAGACCACAAGGACATGTTGCGGGACCATCAGATGGATGGAGGGCTAACCAAAACGCACCTAGGCAACAACAACAGTACAGTGTACGTAGGAACAGAGGGTTTTGATTTGTGTGAATGCGTTTGTTCCTCCCTGTAATATAATAGTTTGTGTTTTTGTTTAGATGTATTGACTTTCTCGGTCTTTGTTTGTAGCTTTGTATTTTTTTTTTTTTTTTTTTTTTTTTGTTCAAATGTAGCTTTGTATTTTAATAATATAGATTTTAACTCAATAGTAAGCAACAACACGATCAAAGATTTGGTCAGCTTGTTTCTATAGACGGTAAGAGCTTTGAGACAATAATAAGACAAAATATCACCAATTTGTTTTTTGTTCCTCCTTTGTATTGGAACAATGATCTTAATTGCTCTAGAACAAAGTCACTGAATCTATTTCCCTCTCTTTTTCTGACATATTTTTACTTTATTTTTCAAGGAAAGACGTGTTTAGATGATTCTAACAATAGTACAGAGAGAGAGACAAGAGGGACAAACATGTAGCTAGCTGCACATACATTTATTATCGATATTACATACCCACAGGCGAATAGCTCGAAGTTGTGTTTAGAGTCCATCCTTTCAACTTAAACATCTTATTATATAAATTTGGTTCTTTAAAATTATTAATTAACATGATCGTGACACATAACAATTATATATTTAAAATTATGACATGTGTTAAATAACAATTTTTCTTTTAAAAACTTAAACCAAAAGAATTTAATAGTAAGTTTTACTTTTTAAAAATCTTAAACATAAACTTTTAAAAAATTAGTTTCCCTTTTTAAACAATCTTAAACAAAAACTGTAAAAATTATATTTCCATATTAATAATATTTAATAATAGTATTTTTTAAAAAGTTAAGATGATTATGAAACATGGAAATTATATATTTAAAATTATGATATGTGTTAAATAACATGTTTTATTTTTAAAAAGCAAACTTAAACCAAAAGAATATAAAACCAATCTAAAAAGCTGACTTTCCTTTTTTAAATAATTCTTATACAAAAAACATTTTTTTAATATTTCCATATAAATAAAATATAACAATGGTATTTCTTTTTTAAAACATGGGTTTAAGATAATTACAAGTTTGGTTTTTCAAAGTTGCTAATTAATATGACTGCGATTCATGACAATTATATATATTTAAGATTATGATATGTGTTAAATAACAATTTTCTTTTTAAAGAAAAAAACTTAAACCAAAAGAATACAAAAATAATCTAAAAAGATAATTTTCCTTTTTAAAAATTCTTAAAAACAGAACATTTTTAATATTTATATATAAATAAAAATTTAACAATAGCATTTCTTTTTTAAAACATTGTCTAAGATAATTAACACTAAACATTTTTAAGATAAATTTTTATAAAATATTAAAATATTTTCAAAATAATTTTCTTATAAATATTTAATAATATTTTTTCTGTTAAAAATATTAAACCAAAGAGTATTGTAATATTTTAGATGAATATAGCCAAACGTGAATCATATAAAGAAGGTAGAAGTGTTGGATATAGAAACTTCTACTAATATTTTCATATAAATAAAATTTTAACTATAGTATTTATTTTCTGAAACATGGGTTTAAGGTAATTACAAACTTAGTTTTTTTAAGTTTCTAATTAGCATAATCATGAGACGTTACAATTATATATTTAAGATCAGGGCATGTATTAAATAAGAGTTTTTCATTTTAAAAAAACATAAACCAAAAGAATATAAAAATAGTCTAAAATTTTAATTTCCTTTTTTAAAAACCAGAAGAGAATTTTTATAAATTTCTTTTTAAATCCCGACAAAATATAATTATATAATTTAATTAATTAATAATTTTTCTTATTAAGAAGTTGATGACAAACATAATACTAAAGCCAGTTTAACTAACACAAATAAATTGTAAAATATGTAGAGATATGAAAAAATGAATGGGAAAAATTCAACTTTTAAAAAATATTTGATATTTACTGAAATAATTATTTACTAATAATTTATTTTAAAAAACTAATCAAAATATAATTGTAAAAAATTGTGTATAGTAATTTTCATTTTCTAAAACCATAAAAAGATACCATAAGAAATTTTGTTTTTTTCTAATAATAATTTTTCTTTTGTAAATCATAAACAACAGAGATTTGTATTATATTTTTTGACACATGTCATTATATGGTCGGAGACATATGGCTATTATATATTTAAGATTAATATGTTAAAAAATATTTTTTTAATAAAAGTTAACTAAAAGAATTTAAATTTAGTTTTCCTTTTAAAAAAAAAGTTAAAAAAAAACTTTCTTATTATATAAAGTTTGGTTTTCAAATTTTTTAATTAACACGATCATGACACATGACAATTATATATTTAAGATTATGACATGTGTTAAATAAGAGTCCTTTTAAAGAAAAACTTTGACTAAAATAATTTAAAAGTTAATTTTCCTTTTTTTAAAAATAAAATCTTAAGCAAAAAAATGTGAAACATTATATTTCCATATAAATAATTATTATTTAGTAATATATCTTTTATGTGGGTTTAAGATAGTTATAAAAACTAAACAATATTTCCATATAAATAATCTGTAGGTTTCTTTTGAAACCTAAACATCTTCTCCTTATTTTCAAGGGTAAACGATCTATTTCCCCCTCGGAATTATCATATAGCATCAGTTCCACATAAAGTTATAGTCTCTGTCTAAATCTCTCCGAATTAAAAGTATAAAACGTATTTCTCCACAAATAAATACTTCCACCTCAATTTCCCCATAATTCAATAATTCAAAACCAGATTGTACATGTACCACGATTTTCTGGTTTATTATAAACCAATCTATGTTAAACCAATAATAATTTTAATCAAACCAAAATAAAACAATATTAATCCCTTTGTTAAGAAATGGAGGAAATGGTGGTTAGCCATATCCGAGAAATGGACCAGACCACATCAGTCTACTTCAGTCACTAAACCAGGCGGCCAAGACTTGTCACTATCCACACTCAAGCTCCTTGTATTTATCCATATGTTGTAGTTATCCTAATCATTATAGGATTAGGATAATCATCCCCTTTTATTGTAATCCTTATCT